AAACAAACTCTAAAAACTTGTGGGGTTCAAGATATGACCACCCATCTATTTGCCAATTGAACCCATAACATCTCTCAAGGTCCAGGTGCTTCCAATAAAGGGCATCTTTAGAGGCCCTGTACCAAGCCCTACAAACCAGAGGCACTCCAATCAATCGATCCTTCTCCTCCAACTTTTGGAAAATGCACACCAGGATATCAATCTCTAGGTTTGCCCATTGCACATCCGACACAACGCAAGCCTCGTCCATTTTTCAAGAGAGTTTTTCTTGTGTTTAGAGAGAGAGGGAGAGATGGGGATAAATACTGTTCAAGAGGATCCTTGATACAGACTCTTTAACAGTCAAACTCCTTGTTTTAGCTTTTTTTAACTGGGTTTTCTCGGTTTGTATAAATTTTTTCATTATCAGGTTTTTTTTGTTGACTTTGGGATGATGAAGAAAAGTCCTTTTCATTTCGAAGCGGAAGACGCGTATAGTAGAGGAATCAACTGAATTTAGAGGAAAGTATTGTAATTTTGTGAACAAGTCAAGCTTAATGGGAATTCGTATGCAGTTTCATGGCAAGGAAAGATTTTATTGTTAAGAATGAGAATAGGTCAAATTGAAAAGAATCTGTCCTTCTGTGGTAAAAAAGCAAAAGATAATTCTAGTGGTATCTACATATTCAAAACACCAAAGGCTAAAAAATTTTCTGCTCCATTTCATTGACATCCTTCTTTCTACCGTGGGCACCTCTCTCTCTTTCTTAGGGCTGGCAACGGGCTGGTTGGCTGGCCTAGGCCCAGCCCAAATCCTGACCTGAGAGGGTTAGGCCAAGTAAAATTAAAAAAAAATAAAAGCAAAAAGTCGTAGAAAAATCCTGCCACTCTCTCTCTCTTAGAGAGAAAGGATATGTTCTCTCTTAGACCCTACTTCTCTCTTATTAGAGTACTCTATTTCTCGCTAGTTAGTGGTTTTGATAAGAGATTTGCGGGGTGGAAAGGTAGATTTTTTTTCTTTTAAATATCCCTATCTACCAAATGTCCATGTTTTTAATACCGGTTGCAGTGGCTAACTGACTTGAACACTTGAACAACTCAGGAGAAATATCCTTCGATCGGGAACTGAAAGAAGTAAATACCACCTTAGAAAATAGTTTGTACCCTATAATTCCAAGGAGGTCTCAGCATTCGTAGTATCAACCAATGTTGCCCTCATCTGTAATGGTGGTAGGGGGCAATAGGTACTTCGCCTCAAATGTCGGTGTCCGCCGAATGCTTAGCTCCCGAGCAGTAGGGTCCCCCACAATGCTTCAAGTATTTGGAAGGGCTTCCATGCTTACCTCCATCACTTTGTTGCAAAACATTCGTTTTCAAGCAAGAGAGGGTATCAAAATTGGATTTTGGAGAGATACATGGATTGGCCATACCGCCCCTTAAGGCAGTCTTTCCTTACCCATTTTCGATTGGCTCGCAATCCCCTATCCCCAATAGCTGAGAACTTCGACTTCTCACCCCGTGGAAGGGTTTGGACCCCAAGGTCCCCTCATGATTTTGAGATGCCAGCCTTTACCGAATCGCAAGCCCTTCTCCATACCTTCTATCTCCCTCCTTGTGGCCCAGACATGTTCTCATTTATCTTCCTCGGGCATGTTCTCATTTATCTTCCTTCTACAACGCCCTCCTCTCGCCCCCCCCAAATCCACTCCCCCATTACCCATCCTACAGCAAAAGCTTCAGCGACTATGGTTCCTCCAAAAACTCACTTCTTTAATTGGGTGGGTGGCCACTCTTCTCTTCTTACCAACAGTGGACCACCTTCAAAGAAGGGAAATGCAACTTCCCAATTGATGTATCGTGTGCCGAAATGAAAGCCGAAACTAATACCCATCTCTTTTTACATTGAGATCGCTTCCCACCTCTGGGCCTCAATTCTTAACCTTTTTGGATGCTACTCGGCCACTCTTCTCTTTTTACATTGAGATCGCTTCCCACCTCTGGGCCTCAATCCTCAACCTTTTTGGACGCTACTCGGCCACTCTTCTCTTCTTACATTGAGATTCAATCCTTAACCTTTTTGGATGCTACTCGGCCACTCTTCTCTTCTTACCTCTCGGCCCCTTGGGCCAAATCAGGCATTCTTTTATGGAGAGCCACCAACCTTTGGACCTTGTTGCTGGAAAGGAACCAAAGAATCTCCGTTAGGGGAGAGTTCTCTAACATCGACGCCCTGCTAGAAAAGGTGCAGCCATTGCTCATTTTTTTGGGCAACCAAACTCCAAACCCTTCAAGCATATTTCTCTAGAGGATTTCCACTAAAATTGGAAGGCCTTGCTTCACCTTAGGCTTTCTCATATCCCTCGGGCCTCCTCTTGGTCCCCTCTCTCCCCTGGCCTAGTAAAACAGCTGCACCCTAGGCAACCCTGGTCTTTGGGGAGTAGGAGGGGTCTTTCGCTACTGTGAAGGCCACACCCTCTTCTCCTTCTTGCACTCCATTGGCTGCTTTGACTCCAACCAAGCCGAGGTGATGCTTCTTCTAGTTGACCTCAGATATTTCAACAGGGAGTGGGAGTGGGGAACTCTTTGATCATTGAAGGAGATTCCGCCAATATCATCTCGTGAGCTTCCAAAGCAGCTCGTGTCCTTGGAGGCTCAATCCCATTTTTTATGAGATTTTCTATAGGAACTCGGATCTGCATATTGTTTGGAGGCATACTTGGAGAGAGGCAAACTCCATTGCAGATTCCTTCGCCAAAGAAGGGACCCAAGGCTCTGCTCTCCTAGGAATACCTAACTAGGCCCTTAAGGACTCCTCCTAAACTCCTTTCCAGTGCTCCTTTTGACCCTTGTGTAAAGCGTGCATTTTTTTTAGCCCTGTAAAGGGTTTTTTGAGCTCACCCGACATGTGGGTCGCTGACCGTTGTACACCTCTCTTTCACTCAATACATCAGTAAACTTTCTAAACAAAAAAGAACGCATACTCTCATTCTGTCACTCTCTTTATCCCTATTACAAGCTACTTTGCTTTATCGCTCTCCTAACTCTCACTACCCCCCTTTATCTCTCCAACTTCTCTCTCTCTCTCCAGATAAATCAGTCAAGTTAATGAAATAGGGCTTCCAAGCCTAACCACCAATTTTCACATCCTCCATGTTTCTAGGAAAGCTTGACACTCATGAGATTTATAGGGAAACTGCAAAGATAATTTCAAACATCCTCTTAATGCATGAAAGTCGTAAAAAAAATGTTTCATTATTAATTTGGATAAAAGTTAGTTAGAGGAGTATGTGATTTGTAAGATAGTCACACAGTAGGCTATTGATATTATAAGGAATAGAGATGGGTAATGGAGAGAGAGAGAGTAATGCGGGATCATTACTCTATTTTATATTTTAACTAAACTAGTGGATCTTTTGAGTTATGCCATTCTTTTAGGGACGTTAATGCTGAAAACTGATGTATTAACAAAGGGTGGCATACACCAACCATCGTTGGTGGTTATATCCGTTCTTTTTTGATCTTTCCTTGTAATCTTCTTCTTGTGAATGAAATTCACAGTAATTGTTTTCAAAAAAAATAAAAAAGAAGAGAGGGAAGATTTTGCAAAGAGACCAAGTCTATCAATTATTTGCAAAGAGAGTAATGTAGAGAGAAGATCGTGCAAATCATGAAGGAGTTAAATGACGAGCACTGGTTTCTCAAGTTTGCCTATGGTTAATCAATTATTTGCTTTTCTTTTGAAATTTTTATCTAGTGTTTTTAATGACTGTAACAAAATTTGAGGTCAAACAAATCTGATTCGTATGGCCAAACCGAGAGTGGCATATATATTATGCGTGTGTATGTTAGAAGAAAATAATACCGTGAAAATACATTCTTAATTTGCTAGTCAAGTAATTGTACTGAATTTAAGGGCATACCTTTCATTAGCAGAATGGGAATTTGACAACACTAGAATGTTAACGACTAACATCCAAGCAATAGCACTGATTTCAGACTTTTTTTTTTTGTGTGGTGAAGTGTGAACTTTGTATTTGATAAAAAATAAAATTCAAGACATCAAGTCGTGACACCCTACCATCCTGACCACCAATGACTTCGGCCCCTTCTTGCTTATTTTCAGACCTTAGTAGGACCATACAATCATATATGTGGACACAAGAATATCCTACAAATTTGTATTTGAGTAATTCAAGAAAAGAATCAGTGGGCTTTAGGGGCAAAGGTGCAAGGATCAGAAACTCTGTTTCCTGTACACTCCCCAAGCCATTGGCCCACATGGTTAGGTTCTTGAAATGTATATTGGCCTATTGGGCTCATCAGGAATTAGAGTATTCACGTTTTGATCCATAACATTGTGTTTCATATACATAACATGGAAGAATAGCTTGCCATCTGAAGTGTCCACGTCGAATTTGGAATCATCTTATTGCAAGAAGACCCATGGCAAGAATTCCAAATCTACATATATGTTTGTTAGCAAATATCCAGAGAAAGAAAAAAATATTGTTTGGAAGAAAATATTTCTTTGTAGCATTGTAATTGAAACCAGAGTGTTGGTGTCACTCAAGCCGGCAATTCTACCCTGTGAAAAGCCTTCGATAGATCTAGTTTGATGGCTAGGATAATTCTGTCTGGTTTTCTCCTAATCTCATAAATATACTGAGAGCTGGTTCTACACTCTCTTTGATAGATTCCAATTTCGTGAAGCCACTTTTGTTTGCAAGATCCGAGTTTGGGTAGCACTAGAAATGAAGGTTTCAATAATCCAGTTAGGATTAATACCTTAAGAAAAATAGGTCGATTACGTCTCTCCTTTAATTATCTTCCGGCTGGCTTTCTAGGGGGCTATCTTCCCGCTTGCTTTCTAAGGGAGCCCCCTGCAAATTCCTCTAGCCCCAAGCCACAATCAGCAAGTGGGCTCACCATGGAGTAAAGAATATCTTCAACCATAATCAGGTGGGTCTTTGTACAGTAAGGAATACTAAGGGGAGTCTAAAGTGGAGAATAACTCAAAAAGAGAAACAAGAAAACCATAGTTCATCCACTATATTATTCATCTGACAGTAATGCCCCATTAACAGTTAGCTTCTAAAGCAAACTCCAAGCTCTTCAAAACATTAATGATACAGAAAAAAGGATTGCACTGGTGACCTCCCTCTACCATTTGAGTCTCCACCACCTGTTCCTTCCAGAACATCTCGTCCCTTCAGGAGATGAGGCAACTCTAGTTTAGCCTCAGCCTCAACTCAAGCTTTGGTCTCATCTATCAATTAGTTGGGTTTTATATAAATATTTGAATATCAGAATTATATGTTTAGCTTTGGCAATGGTCTGGACGTAACTCCAAAATTTCTTGTTTAAAATTCAAAGTTCGGCCTAGACACCTTGAACATGGAGAAGAACCATGGCATGTTTTCAATGTTGCATGACTTTGGCAAAGCCAATTTCTGAAAGCTATATGGTTGTAATTCATTTTATTTCCTGGGAGAAAGTCTGTTCTCCCATTGCTCAAGGAGGTCTTGCCATCTGGAACTTAAGGCCCATTAACCTGCTTGGCGTGGTGGTGGAGATATGCTACCCAATGAACACCTTTGGCAACAGGCTATTTGTCACAAATATTGTCATAGCTCCGACCTTTGTATTTCCCCTTGTAGGACCTCTGGCAGCATTTCATAGCCTTTCACAGAGCTTTCTCAGACATTGAGATTGAGGAATTCACAGTTCTGTCCGCAACACCTGATCGAGCCTTTTTACCCCTCTCGGGGTAGGACAAATTAATTTGGGCCCCCTCCCCCTCTGGCCAGTTCTCGGTCACTTCTGCTGCAAAATCACTTCGGCCCCCTCTTCCCCTCTAATCCCGCGTCCATTGTGGCCAAAGCCTGGTTCTCTCTAGATCCAGAGGAGAGGCCTGCCCCTTCCCAACAGATGCACTATGTGCTCCACGGCAGAGGAGACAAATAACCATCTCTTCATCCACTGTGACTTTGCTGGCAGAGGAGACAAACAACCATCTCTTCATCCACTGTGACTTGCTGGTTCAATGTGGAGTAAGTTGCTTCAACTTTTCAGGTGGACCTGGGTTACCCCAGAATCTATTCCACAGCTCCTCCGGACATATCTGTACCCACCTTCTTCTGGCCTTTACCTTTGGAGGGCCTCCATTTTTGCCACTATCAGGACCATTTGGCTCGAGCAAAACAATAGGACCTTTAGGGGTGAGAGCAGATCAGCACATCGATGCTTGCAGAAGGTGATCGAACTGGTGATCTTTTGGGCATCTCATCACAAGACTTTTAGTGGCATCCCCCTCTCGGTTTATATACAGAATTGGTTGTCTCTGCTTTCCTTTCGCCCCAGTACTATTTCTCGATCCTCCCTATGGCGTCCTCCTGAAGTGGCTGTATTAAACTTAATTTTTATGGCTGCTCTCTCAGCAACCCGGGGCCCTCTGGAGTTGGAGGCCTCTTTTGAGACCACAATGGATCCACACTCCTTTCCTTTTCCATCCGTATCGGCCACGAAGACTCTACTTTTGCAGAAGCCTTTGCCCTCCTTTCAGGTTTGACGGAATTCGACCCCAGCTGGGGTACTGTTTTGGTAGTTGAAGGGGATCTAAAAACACCTTATCCTGGGCTTCATGTTCTGCGCCCTGCCCTTGGCTTTTGGTCCCTATTTTCGATGAAATTTGACGAAATCCACCATATTTCTGACCCTATCAACATCAGTTGGAGGCATGTCTGGAGGGAAGCCAATGCTGCCGCAGGTTTTCTGGCCAAGGAAGGGGCCTCCTCTAACCCTGAATGGGTTCCCCCAGCCATTCTTTGAGCCCCCACAAGTCACACTTCTACAGTGATTTTCTGACCCCACAAGTGACACTTCCACAGTGATTTTCTGATCAAGTAATTAACCAGCTTCATCACAACCACTGTTCCAATCCAGATACAAACAGGGTCATAGTTTCAACTGGAAAGCCATACAAGCCAGATACAAACAGGGTCATGGTTTCAAAAGGAAAGCCACACAAAAAAAAGCCATTGGATTATCCTAGAGATTTCAACACTTTGCCCAGGCTGTGCCTATGAAAAACCATTCAAAAGTGGATTCTTTACACATCTGATCTTCCATTAGAGAATATTATGATAGAGTTCATGATATGAAATTGTGGAAATTGAGGGCAGAGAACAATAACAAGCAACAGAGCATGAGTGAAAAGGCATTTGGCAGTAGTCTACCTTAGCCAACAGAGCATGAATGAAAAGGAACTTGGCACAAGTCTACCTTAGCCAACAGAGCATTAATGACAAGGAACTTGGCAGAAGTCTACCTTAGACATGAATCTGAGAACTTCTAAGCCAAATTCTTAAAAACTTAGAGAAATGAGGATAATATCATGCTATTCTTGTAATCTTGAAGTGAAGGAGCATTGAGCTCAGATTCTTCAATAAACTGCATAAATAACCGTTGAGGTTCAGAGGTGGCCTATTTTTTTTTAAAAAAATTCCCAACTTGGAGTAACTAATTGAAGCCTAGAGCATATTCAAGCGTTTAAAACTCCACTACTGAATATCTATTAATTAAAATAAACAAAACCATAATGATCTGAGGTTTTATGTTAACCTGCAAATTCGAACTTTGAGGACTTTGGGGACCAAGCTCAATTATGTAATAAACATCCACGAACCTGTTAATTCTCATAAGAAAAGCCACTCTTGGTTTGATTCATGCTAGAAAGAAGAATTGACGAAGTAATTATTAAGGGGAATGAAAGGAAAACCCGTTAATTCTCATAAGAAAAGCCACTTTTTGGTTCACAATAGAAAGAAAATTGACAAACTAATTATTAAGGGGAATGAAAAGAAAATATATAAGCCCAAAAATGATGATAATGAAAAACATCAAATCAATGATAAGTTTTTGGGACTATCATAAATTAAAGTCACATCAGAGGAGCTTATGTATTCCTAAATTTGATGATCCAGCAAACAAGAAAATGAAATAAATGTTCAAAAGGAATTGATAAATTCTCAGAAAGGATTACTTCTTGGATATCAAAAATCTTGGTTAAACATAACTAAAATGGAGCTTCCCTCTCATGATTAAAACCTCAGAGTCACAGAAAACTTCTGCATGAGCAGGAGAATACAAGATCCAAAAATATAAAATGAATATAAGCTTTTATTTATTGATCTATGCATCTCTATATCATCACCCTTGTCCTTTTTCTCACTATACACCCCTCCAAAATTTTCTGGATTACATCAATCAAAAAACTGGCATATGGGAACCCCTCTAAACAATAAAATCTAAAACACTAAAAGAGAAGAGGATAGGCGAGGAAATCTAACTGGTTCCTAGGTTCTTATGCTATGCTAATTACTCATCAGAAAGCCCGAAGTTGCAGTATCAGTGGTATAAATGTTGCTTGTTATTTTAAAATCTTGTGCCATAGATATATTCACTAAGAAACCTGCTATACATTATATCTACGTAAATACATTATATCTACCTAAATAAAACTAAAAAGAAAGGATGTAGTAGTTTTTCTCCCTGTTAGTTTCAACTGTACAACCAATGTTGGACTACGGCTTAATGCGGTAAGCCACATTTCCCTTCCAATCTCCACCCTTCAATACTAGCCTCCCTAGAGCCTCACAAAAGGAGGAGATGACCTCAAGTGCCGAGCCCCATACAAAAGAGAGTCTCTCTCTATCACCAACCATTCAATGAGATCAAATGACAATAATGCAATGGATCAAATTGTTTCAATAACTAAAATGTTTGCTGACTAAGGCTAAGACCTTCTTGATTTTGGAAAGCAGGAGGCCGATGAAGTAGCTCAGCTCCACCAGGGACAGTCGAGACACCTGACTCAGCTGTGGATGCACATTCTCCAACCAAAGCCTCTTCGACGTATTGATTTTGGTCCACGTATTCCACTCTAAAATGCACGATATGAGAGGCCCAGAGCCTAATCTCATCATCCATTTCAATCTTCACTCTGCACTTCACAACAAAGCGCTCTAGCTCCCTGCAACACATTAAGAAGGGGATAATGTCTTGTTTTGGGATAAAAGGAAATTCAAGCACCAAGACCTTAATGTGCCTTATGTGTGTTGCTATACATGTTGCTTGCTTCTCACAAAGAATATAACCCCCAAGCTTCACCTCGCGTAGGTTGTTGCAATGTTTCTCCACCTCCGGCCACATACTGCAAAGAAGGTCACCGCTGACGTGAATTGCTTGGAGGCCCGGCCACTGGCGAATAGCCCTTTGGAGGGAATGGCACTTGCCATTGGAGCTAAGTAAGCGGTTGCAGTCGAGGAAGGCCACAGACTTCAAGCTTGGACATCTGAAATAAGCATTAGGTGATGGAGATGAAAGATGTTTACTTGTTTAGCATGCAGAACATGTGTTGCATAGGGTGATTGAAAGAGAAGGATCACACACACAGAGGGAGGGAGAAAGAGAGGAAATTCATTCTGTGGAGGACAGTTGGGAGTAGAAAAACAGAGGGTCAGGAGAGAGAGAAAGAGAGAGAGGAAACCGATTATGTACTGGAGAGATAAAACAGAGTATTGGGCGGCAATTGAGAGAGGGAGATAAAAAGTGGATTCTTGGACAATTGAGAGATAAAACAGAGTATTGGGCAATTGAGAGAGGGAGATAAAAAGTGGATTCTTGGACAATTGAGAGATAAAACAGAGTATTGGGCAAGTATTGGGCAATTGAGAGAGGGAGATATAAAGTGGATTCTTGAACAATTGACAGAGAGAGGAACTAATTATGTACTCGACAGTTAGGGAAGTATAAAAAAGAGTATCGGGAAATTGAGTGAGGAAGATAAAAAATAGAGTATGGGGGAAACATAAAAAAGAGTATCGGAAAATTGAGTGAGATAAAAAATAGAGTATGGGGAAGAGAGAGTAGCCGAGAGTAGCCAGAGAGAGCAAAACCATTACAGAGAGAGCAAAGCCATTAGAAAGAGAGTAGCCATTACAGAGAGAGAAGCTAGGGCAAGAGAGAGCCATTACAGAGAGAGTAGCCAGAGAGAGAAGCTAGAGAGTACCCATTATAGAGAGAGATGCTAGGGTAAGAGAGAGCCATTACAGAGAGAGTAGCCAGAGAGAGAAGCTAGGGCAAGAGAGAGATGTGACCTGTCAGCAACGTACAGAACATCACGTTCCCTGGTCTCCCACCCCGGAAACACAATAGATTGCACGATTCCCCCTTTGATCCCAACCACAAACTCCAAAAACCTGTGATAATCGTTCTGAGGAGAAGTGCAGAGCAAAGCGGGCCACTCCTGCCTCTGAATCTCACACCACCGATCCAAGTCCAAATACTTCCAGCAATTAGGGTCGTTCGACGCCTCCCGCCATGAGGTGCAAACCAGAGGAAACCCAACCAGTCGATCCTTCTCGCTCAACCTCTGAAATATCTCCACCAGAATTCCTCTCTCTAAGTTCTCCCATCTCCCCTCCTCAACCATTAATGGGCGCTCCCCGTGATTTAGAGAGATAAACTCCGTGATTTAGAGAGAGAAAGTGGGAAGGGAGTCGGTGTTCGCCCCAATTTTTCAGAAACACGCGCAGGTGTCGTGTTGTAAAGAGATGGAAAGAGAGAGGGTTTCTTATTTAGAGTGTTTTTTAGAGAGAGAAAGACTGAGGGTCTGATGTTTACTAATTTTAGAGAGAGAAAGAGAGGAAGCAAAGGAGGAAGCGGCTGAGGAAGAGGGTGAGTAAAAGGGTAAACAATGTTTGGTGAGATTGGCAGTGGGGAGCTTCAACAATTAATACATTATTTTATCTGGAAAAATTAAAAAATTAATACAATATTTTATTGGAAAAAAAAATCAGAAAACCCCTCAAATTTACTATCTAAATTACCCCCGCGGATCTTTCATCTTATTTTTTCCGCACAACCACATTTTCTCGCAAAAACCCTGAAGGTCACTTTTTTTCCATAACCACTCTTCCTTTCACAAAAACCCCCTTTTTTCTTTGGATGGAAATGCCCATCTCATATATATAAAAAAGAAGAATTCAAGTGGCAATCCCAAATAGAGTATTGTCGAAGCGACCAATTAAACTGTTGAAGCGATGTGGTTCCAGAAGTTGTACTTTCAAAGTACATATTTGTATTGCGAGAGCGTTTGTCTTTATTGGGAGAGCGACCTATTCAACCGCCGGAGCATTGTGGCTCTAAAAGGTGTATTGCTAGAGCGAGTCCTTGTATTACTGAAGCGCGTCTTCATTGTCGGAGCGACCTATCCAACTGCCAGAGCGCTTTCACTCTAGAAGGTGGACTGCCGGAGTGAATACTGGAGCACATTGTCCTCATTTGCTGGTGCTCTGTGGCTCCAAAAGGTGTACTGTCGGAGCACGTTGCGTGTCCTCATTGCCGGAGTGACCTATCCAACTGCCGGAGTCGCTTTCACTCCAGAAGGTGGACTACCAGAGTGAATACTGGAGCACATTGTCCTCATTTGCTGGTGCTATGTGGCTCTAGAAGGTGGTTGCGTGAAAAAAAATAAGTTGTAGAAAAAAAAGTGAGAAAAAAAAATAGCTCGGTAAGTTGCATATATCTAGGGTTCTTTTTATAATTTTCCTTGACCATGGAGGAGAGAGGGAGGATAAAATGCGTTTGCGGCACAGCTCCAAAGCGTGAGTGAGGGACCATACTGTATATTTGCACATTTGTATAAAATAATTGTTTATGGGTATGTTTATGTTTAGTAATGGAGAAAATTGTATTTTTGGACAGCTTCAACGCCCATGATGGGCGATCACACTGTATGCTTGTCCATTCGTATAAAATAGTTGTTAAAGAGTATGTTCGGTAATTGAGAAAGTTGTATTTTGGACAACTCCAACTGTTCATTTGTACAAAATAATTGTTTAAGAGTATGTTTACGTTTGGTAATTGAGAAAGTTGTATTTTTGGAGAAACATCAAGAAATTAGAAGCTTGAGAAGTAGAAAACTCTAGCTAGAAAATAAGAACCCTTATTTGGTAACTTGTTTGTGAAAACTGGAGAGAGTTGAGGCTAGAGCTTTGGCAATAAGAGATTGAGACGGGAGAGGGATCATAAGGTCAGAGAAATAAAAAAGAAAGAGGGGATCTTTGCATTTCTTTGTTTTCATGAGAAACATTATTATAGTTTTCCCCAAAAATGGGGAAAAGTATGGAATCCATAAGAAATGTAGAGCTCCGCCTCGGCGTTTCCATCTTTTTCCCGTTCCCCAAATAAAAAAAAGTGTGGTAATTGAGAAAACATGATATTTTCTCTTGTTTTTTCATTTATCAAATAGAGCTTAAGAGGATTTGTATGGCTCGAGATAACTACTGTTAAAAAAAAAAAAAAAGAAAAAAAAAAAAAAGAAAACAAGAAAAAGGGGCTAACTAGTATGATTGTTGAGAGATATGATATAGAGAGATACGTGAGAGAGTGAAAATGTGTGAGATTGTTGAGAGATATGATATAAAGAGATACGTGAGAGAGTGAAAATGTGTGAGTTTTTTTAATTTAAGCTGCCAAAAAAAATTGTATACAAAATCACCAAAAATATAAAAGATGAGTGACTAAAATCCTTAGACAATAAAGGAGACGTATCTAACTGAAAGCCTAACGATGAGACCAAATCGTTCTTGGACTGAAAGCCATCGTTCTTTGATTGAAAATATGCATATATTTTAAGAGAACCATATTTAGGGGAGGAGAGAGAGAGGACCCATATTTAATGGCGAAGAGGTAGAGAATGAGATAGAATACGCAGATATTTTAGGAGAACCATATTTAGGGGAAGACAAAGATGACGCACCTTTATTTTTTTTGTGTTTATCAAATATGTCTCTTGTTTTTTTTTTTAGGGTCTTATGTTAAGATCAATATTATATATATCAGCATATTTATATTGATATAGGTGAGATTTTTAAAGAGGTTAAGAGTTTGAGATATACAATTTTTCTTTCCTTAAAATATACTCTCTTTCTTTTTTAAAAAATCTTCGAGAACTATCCATCCTATAAATTCTTTATATTTTGGAAATTTGGACATTCACACTAACAAACTCTAACGAAAGAGGAAAGAGACCACTCATCCTCTACCCCTCTCTTCCTAATATAAGGATGATCAATATTTTTAAAAAGATATACATGTATCAATTTTTTTAAAAAGATATACATGTATCAATTTGAGATGAGGAAAAAGAAAGGCTCTCTACAACCATAGAGCGATGATAAGGCATTTCTAAAATGATATATATATACTAATTTTTAAAGGGTGAGGTTCTTATAAGGTTACAACCTTAAACAATCCAATATACTAATTTTTAAAGGGTGTAGTTCTTATAAGGTTACAACCTTAAACAATCCAATTACGGCGCACCTCCAAATTTTATCATAACATGTAATTTTGGTGTAAAACATTATTTGGATTATACAAAAATCTATCTTCATATCTAATTATAAAATTGTAAAATCTTAAAATGGATAGTGTGGATACTATGTTGCAAGATGCTTTATTTCTGGGACTCAAAATATTTTTTTTCATATTTTTACATCTCGATGTTAAGATAATCAATTAGAGGATTTTTCAACATTAAAACAACATTTTCTGATGGATTTTTTAGGTGCACCTTTAATGTAACCTTGTTAACTTTTCCCATTTTCAAAATGAGAGAAAAACTACACACCCCTCTCTCTACAACCTCTATTAGCTTCTCTTCCTAAATTGAGGACACTCTCTCAACTCTAATGGCACTACCATTTAATCTAAATCTTCAAAAAGCACTCCTCCAAAATGTCTCAACCCATCTCTTAAAATTTCTTTATCAATAATATGTTGACATTTATTCACACAACTCTCTCTCCCCCCTCTCCCTCTCCCTCTCCCTCTCCCTCTATTCATCTCCATACTCTCTCTCAAACTCTATATCCATCTCTTAAATTTTTTTTTATCAATAATATCTTGAAATTTATTCACACAACTCTATCCTTCTCCCTCTATTCATCTGATACTCTCTCTCAAACTCTATACATCTACCCCTCATCACTGCAAATTAGATATCTCTACCTTAAGTATCTCTCTTGGCTAGACGAACAAAATTCATGAAAGTGAATGCTTCACCCAAGTTATTATTACTTTTTTTTGGTGAAACTCATTATTTGATTGCAACTAATATGATTTGGATTATTTATTGAATTTTTATTTTTATTTTATTGCATTTTAATGGATAAATGGACATAAAAATTGTATTATATGGATTTATATACTTTTTCAATTCTTTTCTTTTGGTAGCTTATTATTTCTATTGTAATTATATGAACCTATATATCGTTTTTATTATACGTATAGTATGGTTATTGATTTCCCATTTTTGGATTGCTTTAGCAGTTCAGAAAATATGCAGGTTAGGTATTTGAAGTTCGTTTTCTTTGTTGGATAGAAGAGCGTTTGATAGAACATGCAAATCTTCATCTTCAATAATGAAGTACGCAAGGAGGTATACTCCTGGTTTTTTTTTTTTAAATCATTACTTTTCATGTTGAATATTTTTATTTTTTTAATATTTTATTTTATTATTTATTTTTTTGAGAAATTCATGAAGAGATCAACCATTCAATATTTAACCAATATATTTTGATTTAATTTCAAAGTACATATGAAAGTAAAAATGAGATGAAATAATTAAAAGGAGTAAAATCTTAAGGGATTGCTATTTTTTTTACGTGAAGGTCACGATCATTCCCATTGATTAGATGTCAAATTGGATGGCTTAGGGTGACTCACGAAGTTCGAGAACTATTCAATGACACTCTTACAACCAACCATTTTGAAATTTCTAAAACTCTTACAACCATTCATTTTGAAATTTAAGAGACGAATGATTGTGACCTCCATACACAAAAGATCGATATTCGCAAATCTTATTAGCTATATTTTCATAATTATTTTGTAGCATTAGTCTCATTAGCTTTCATTATATTGTTTTGTAGCATTAGTCTTATTAGCTTTCATTATATTTCGTCGTGCAATGCATGTAATCCAACTAGTATATATTCAAATGAAGCAAAAATCACGGTCACATGAGAACAAAAATACGTATACTTTAGAACCGTGAAATTGACCGATCATGAGGCCCATATGTGGAAGAAGAATAAGAATATGTGTACTTGAGAGGCGTGAAAATGATCGGCCAACAGATGGCTTGGGTCCAAGGGTACAGAAAGGAGGCACAAAGCATCACGGATTTCCCTCATTTGGGATGGTCAAAGCTCCAGAATTTCAATGTATTATTTATATTTGTAAAGAAATTTCATGCAGATTTTGAGCTTTTGAAATGCAAATATTGTCTATTTTATTCAGGTGCACAGTGCTTCTAATCTCTTTTGCCTGTCCGTGAGGAGGAGAATAGGTCCTTACAATTTAGGGGCTAAAACATGGCCCACGGTTGAGTTATTACTTCCACATGAGTACAAGGGAGTGAATGGTTTAAATGCTCCTGCAGGAACATAAAATCCTTTTTGCCTGTCTTAAAGAAGCCAAAGGAATTTCACGATGGCGCGTTAAGAAAAAAATTCCACAAGGCCGCGTTCGTAGTCAGACAAGCCTATCCATACTCAAATTTCTTTTTTTTTCAAACTTGAGGTTTGATAATTCGAGTTTTAAGAAGATAAAGATATTCACTAAAAACAAAGAAGAAGATAGAGTGTATGAAGATTCTGGCCCTTATATGCACCT